AAATTCGCTAAATATTACTTTTTTAGTGTATTATTTAAAGAATTTTCACATTTGTAGACAAAATCTTTCCCAGTTGTCAAAATTCTTATAATCTGCACGTTTACTAAACTGAGTCTCATTATCTCCCAACTGTGCATTTCCTAACTTCCTGCCTTGTTCCTTGTACTCCAGTTGGTAAATCAAATACCTTAGGATATTGAAAATATTATGTTTCACTTTAATGATTTTGCTCTTGCCTTCCCATCCTTCCCCTGGACACTTCTTACTCAACTTTCATGACTCAGTTCAGGTCTCAACTTCAGCAGTAAGTTGATTGTGGAGCCCCAGTCAGTATGACCTGCCTTTATCTTTGCACCATAGTCCCCTTGTCATCATCTTAAGTCATCACTTACTGTCATGAAACATGTTTCATTGTAATTCTCTGCGTATTTGTCTTTTATTCCCAATAGTACATAGACCTTCAAGAGAAATGCCATTATGTATTTGACTTTATATTTTCATTTTTCTAACAGAGTACCCTTTTCCTGCTAGGTCTTCCAAAGTGATTGAACTATTTTGTCCAAAGACCCATAAATAGATTTACAGTACTATTTGGGCTATTCATTTTTTAAGATACATAAAAATTAATAGAGTTACAACTTAATATAAATAATAGAATTTCACAACAAGAATATGCCTATAAATATACAAAATATCTGATTTACACCAATGGGAAATATAATTCATGTGTCCTTTCATTAATAATATAATTTTCAGGTGTTTGAGTTAAAAAAAAAAAAACCACCTTTTTAAAAGTAACTTTTAATACTGAGATAATAGTGGAGTCATAAACTTTTAAGAAACACAGGGAGACCCAGTATGCCCTTCACTCACTTTCTTCCAGGAGGCTCTTTCTTTGAGTCTGATCTTATTTATTTGTTACTCAAAAAATCTTATTTCTGACTGGATTCAGACTATAAGTAGAAGCTTGCAGAGAAGAAAGTCTGCATCTCTTCGCAATTTGCTCCTGGCGCTTCTCTTTAGCCACCTTCATTCTCTTGGCCGAAAGTTTAGCATATTCTGCAGCCTCTTCCTTATTTTTCTTAGTACGCTGCTTCTTCAGAGCAAATACGCCACCATTTGTGCTGCAGGGGCACGTGGAGTAACAAGATGCTGAATCTTGGGTGCTTTGGTTCCAGGTTTCTTACCTTCTTTGTTTAAGGGCTTTCTTACAACATACTGGCAGACATCATCTTCTTTAAAAAGTTTGCAGATTCTGCTAGCTCTTTTGTGCCCCAGGCAATGAGGCACCATGGTTTCAGTCAGTCCTCGAATATCATTCTCTCCTTTTTTTGTAATAACCAAGTTGAGAATGCTCAGATTGGCATCCACAATGCAACCATGAACTGATTTTCTCTTTCTTTCTCCAGTTCTCCTTGATCTGTAACAGTAATGTCCCTTACTCAGTAGCAGGCGGACACGGCCATGGGTCAAGCTTCATGGGGAAACCTTGTTTGTCATTCCCACCACTAATTTGGACCACATAACCCTTCCATTCTTCACCCAGAGCATCAGCAGCAACTTCTGTGACCGTACACTTCTCATAAAAAGTACGAAGTTTGCGTTCATCGTCCACTTCAATAAATTTCTGGCAGCCAGTGGCTGGGAAAGAGATGTGCAGCTTCATCTTGAAGCAGCTGCCAGGAGGGTCTTTGAATTGGCATTAAATTTTCCTTCAAAATATACACATATAGAACTATAAGCTACTGATTCAATAATCCCCAAACAAAATTCTGGAGCTTCTTCCCAAAAATAGTTTGATAATCAAACTTGATCATCCTCACTAACGAACAGAAAAACTGGAGTGATTCCTTATGAAATGTAAAAAAGCCCTCTAGGCTTCAGTCCGGCAGAACTCTCCTATCACATTCACAGATGTTTATAATAGGTGTAGTCATTGTCCATTACCCACAAGATGATCAAATTATAACTTACTTGACCATATGCTGCGTCCAAAAAATTATTTTCAAAATTCAAAAGGACCTTAAATCACCTATGTTTTCCCTCTTTCTATTTTAAAACAATAACTAAATAATGTAAAAATAATAACTAAAACTTTTTTTTTTTTTTTTTTGTTTTGGGGACGGAGTTTCGCTCTTGTTACCCAGGCTAGAGTGCAATGGCGCAATCTCGGTTCACCACAACCTCCGCCTCCTGGGTTCAGGCAATTCTCCTGCCTCAGCCTCCTGAGTAGCTGGGATTACAGGCACGCGCCACCATGCCCAGCTAATTTTTTTTTTGTATTTTTAGTAGAGACGGGGTTTCACCGTGTTGACCAGGATGGTCTCAATCTCTTGACCTCATGATCCACCCACCTCGACCTCCCAAAGTGCTGGGATTACAGGCTTGAGCCACCGCGCCCGGCCATAACTAAAACTTTTTAAGCTTGCCTAAACTAGTTGCAGAGTGGGAAAAAATGGTTGATTTAATCTTTGAATATTGAGTTCCCATTTCAGATAAAGCAGAAAGAAACCAAGGGGTATCTAAGCTAAATGTAATCTATAATACCACATGCAGTGCATTCCTAGAAATGATTGATCAAAAATTCAGGAATAGATATTATACTATTACTATAGCTTAGTCTGTTACTATAGTTTAATTCCATGATGTTACATGCACCTTCAAAATTACTGGTTTATTTTTGGCCTAAAATCATCCTTCATTCCTCTTTGCTCTATTAATTTTCAGTTTTAAAAGTACACATTAGGGAATATTTTGCAGTTTACTAACAGTACTTACTTGTCTTTTGGCCAAAGTAAGCAGCTGCCTAATCCTTTGCCCCCGAATTCTACCTCCTGCTCTGCTTTGTATCTTCTGCTTGTGACATAAATAAAGTATATTAGATTTTGTTCTCTAAAATTCAGACATTATCCTCTGTGGCATGCCATCATCCTTGGGAGGAACTGCACATTAAATCATTAAAGAAAATTATCCTGATGAGTCATTTTGTCAGATGGTTTGCAACAGGATTCTCTTGTAGGAATGGGAAAGGGGGAAGATGTGATGGAGAGGCAAAGCAGTCAGAGATGAGAGCAACAGCATCTAAAAGTCAGAGGCTTAAGTGTTAACGTCCATTATCACCAACCTTTATCAACTTACCACCTGTGTGTGTGTGTATGAGTTAAATAACCTAAGTATCTTCCATTTTTTTAAATTTGTAATTGAGACTAACAATACCTCCTTAGAGTGCTATTGTGGGAATTAAGAAAATACTTCTCAGAATATGCAAATAAGTGTGTGTGTGTGTGTGTGTGGGTGGGTGGGTGGGTGTACACACCTTACGGCAACTACCAGCATAAGGGAAATGGATGTTAAAAAACAAATACATCTCCTTCATCCTTCACAATTTTTCCTTGGTTTTGGCTTGCAAATAGAGTGAGATATATCTCTTTTGATGAAAAGGAGTGCTGTGTTAGGCCAAAGACTTCCTACAGATACATGGACAGAAGGCTCTCTGACATTTAGTCTTGGCAGTCTCTGGTCATGTCAACTTTGCAATACGGAAACTCAAGCACTTCTATTAGCCTCCACAAGGCTAACCTGTGAAGAATAGGAGCAAAGGTATGCATCTCTTGAGAATAAGCTAAGCTACTCTATGTCTATGGGCAGAGTGTAAACACATAATCTGTAGACTACATTTAGGATGGTGTTTCTCATGATACATGACAAATGATAACATGCTCAACTTTCATATTTTATGTACTGAGCCACTGTGAATTTGTATGTATTGTTCAGGATTTACATAGCCCACTGAAGAATTTCCAAAATCTAGAACTGTTGGAGAAAACTCCCCCCTAACGATAATTAAGAAGATACTAAGCTCCAGTCAAATTCTAATAATTTGAAAGGTATTATATCATTTAATATTCACAACAAAATTAGGAGGGAGGTACTATTATGTTGCCCATTTTACAAATAAAATTGAGTCATGGGAGAGTTCAGTGACTTCTCCTGTGGTAATTCACTAGTAAATGTAGAGCCAGGAGTTAAACCTGGACATTTTGGCTCCAGAGGCCACATGTTAATCACAATGCTACTTCTCTACCTTGAACAAACCTTGCTGAGAGTTACGAAATAAGTAGTTTTAGTTCCTTAGGTCTTCTTAAACTAAAACGAGTAAGCACTTTGAGCAGACTATAAACTGCCTTCCCTATAGTGATCTACAAACTTTTCCAAGAAAATTATCTTTAGATGCAGCAATCAAAACTTGTGTATAAGGGGAAAAGGAACTCTTGTTTATCTCTTACTACTTCCCTTGAATTTCATTTTTCCTAGGAAAAAAAATCTTTAAAAATCCAAGTTGGTGGATTTTCCTCTAACACAGAGCAGCGATTCCACTATTTCAGAGACAGTGTAGATATTGGGATTAGTCTCTCTGTATCTCAGAATGTCAACACATTTGCCAAAAATGAATTTATCAGTTAAATGCAGCCAAGAGATTTAGTTTATCTATGTATTACAAAGAAGAAACAGCTTACCACTGTTTTTACAGATTGAGGTAATCGGGCATATTATTGACATGTGCTATAGATTTAATTTAATACCATAGTACAGATATGGGCTCTGATAAGTTATTTTGAAATCTAGGCTAAGATGAGTAGAGTTCTTTCAATATTTATAGGGTTGAAAATGCAGAGTTAGCAAAGGAAGCATTTTAATTAAAACAATATTTTTCTATGTATGCTCAGAGTAAAATGAAAGGGAATTCTTTTAAGGCCTTATTACTTTTTTCCATATATTTGCTGGAAATACTTTTGCTGGGTTTTAAGACACATTGAAAAAAGGTTCACTTGTTTATTTCCCAATATTTTAAGCCTTTTGATTTTAGAACCACCAAAAACAAAAACAAAAACAAAAACAAAACAAAACAAAACCTCGATAGTTTCTTTTGATTTTACATTTTTTTTTCCAAATGTATTTAGGATTCTTTATATTTACCCTTTTAAAATTGTATGTTTTAGGCATCCTGGAGATAACATCAGTAGAAATCGGAGTTGTTGCTGTGAAAGCCATTAACAGCAACTATTACTTAGCCATGAACAAGAAGGGGAAACTCTATGGCTCAGTAAGTATTCTGCTTTTGTTTTCAAATCCACTGCAGAACATCATTACCACAGTTTTGGAATGTTTCCCCCAGCCATTGAATAGCTTTGTTATCCTTCTATTGCTAGTAAAACAGAGCCACAGTGGTTCCGTCACCACTGTTTCAAGGGTTGGCAAAGCATCTCTTCCAATTCTGTAATCTCCTCTGTTGTTCACCCATTAGTCTACCACACAGGCTGCTGCTGGCATTTGTATGTGAATGTTCTAAACTGCTAACCAACTCAAGCTCTCACGGAAGCATCTGGTCAGATTGGCACAGGAATTGCAGACAACTTGGAGAAAAAAATAATAAAAACAAAGATCTTGAACTGAGTAGAAACCCATGTATTATGTGTGTGTTATGGCTGAGGATAAAACAAGGGCTCAGATGTTTTGCATTTTGTTAAAATTTGAAATGGAGAAATGTACACTATTTTGCATGTTGTTCAATCAACTCTAGAATTTTATTTAGCTAGACAATAACCATTAATTCAAATTATGCCTCAAAATCTCACACACACACACACACACACACACACACATTATATATATATATACATATAAAATGTATGTGGAAATATTCCTTGCAATAGGGTCCTTGTGGAGCAGGTATCCCTGCAGTGCTTTGGACACATCCACACCTGTATCCCATACCAAGTGTTAAGTATTTGGAATACCACTTCTGCAATCTTGGATCAAACTCATTTAAACCAATTTCTTAGAAATTTAAGATTTCACTTAAAATAACAAATAGTTGTTTTATAATTTCAATTGTAATAATAATTAAATTACAAACAGTGAGACAATTTATCTTGTTCAGGTCCTTAGAAAAAAACACAACAGTCAATCATATTAAAATCTACTATATAAAATCTACAGATACTGTTTGGCATATCAAAGATGCACAAGAAAGAAGTATAGAAATGGGCCCTGACTTCAAATAATTTATATTTAGGGGAAAATGTTAACAAATATGAAATAATTATAGCATGATTGGTTGTTACATGTAAGAAAAGATCAGGTATAGTAAAGTAGCCTTATGATAAAGCTGGGAACAAAGTTTCAATCTCTTAGCTGTCATTTGAATGATGACAGGAGTATACTAGTTTGTGCATGGATATTTCTCATTGTGTCCCTCCCAGAGGTAGATCAAGGGAATGCTAACTGAATTTCATTTTTTTCCTCTGGATTCTACTCCAGGGGAGTATACTGAAGGCAGCTATAAACTTGGAAAAATTTCAATTGCATTTTTTGGAGGACATGCAATAACATATCTGGCCAGAAATAAACCTGTGACACAAATCTCTTAAATAATTTTATATCATTTCTAAACAGATCCTGTCATTTTTACATTTTTATGTAATCAAAAAGTAATTTCACTTTAAATTTGTAAATAAACATACTATGTTAATTAGCATAAGGCTGATGGTAGTGACCATTTAGACCTAGCAGCTCTCAAACTTGAGTATGATCAGAATCAGTGGGAGGGCTTATTAAAAGACAGAATAATGGGACCCACAGCCATATTTTCTGATTCAGTAAATCTGTGGTAGGGTTCAAGAATTTCAGCTTCTGACATGGTCCTAGGTGTTCCTGATGCTGCTGGTGTAGTAGCCACACTTTGAGAACCACTGGTCTGGACATAGAATAGCCTTGCATTTTACTAATATCAGGTCCATTTTTAACTGGGGAGTCAGGCATGCTTTGAGTTGATCCCTGGGACTAGCATAAATACTTTTTTGCATGGGTGTCAGAGAAATTTTACTAAAATTTTTCCATTACCATTGCTTCCCTAATGAGCCCAGAGAAATAACAGACAATTATAAAAAGTGGTTCCATTTAGGGGTTCACATCATAATCACTTTTGAGGCATGTTTAATGTTTTCATTAAACATGGCCAGGTTCTTCCTTGATCTGTTATATCAGAATTACTGGGGAAGAGAACCAGGTACATAATCTTTGAAGAGATATCCACACACATACTTAGTCTAGATCCAACATCTTAAAGCCAACTAACATGAATTTAGATGAAGAAAGAAAATATTAATTGATATAAAAGATTTTAAATAATTTTAATTGATAAAATATACTTATTTAAAAACATGACATCCAGGAGAAATAGATAACTTTCAAATAAACTCTGACATAAAAATATTTAATACTTTTCCTTACATTTCTGTTCTTTTTTCTTCTGCCCCAACATGGACTGTGCTTATGCTTTATCTTGAGCTTCAAGCTCTCTGAATTATTTCATTCAAATTCTTTATCTAAAGTAGAGTCCAGTTGCTTTCTATCACATCACCCTATTTTAATTATCTGCAGTGGCACTTATGTAAGATTTCTCTCATTAATGTGTTTGTTGTTCACTGTCTTTTCTCAACAGTTTGTGACCTTGGAGAGGGTGAGGTCAGTCTTGTCTCTCACTATTTGTTCAGCACTTAGAACCGTGTTATAAGTGCATTTATGCACAGTTACACTGCATAAACCTAACCACTCCTAGTAGCTCAGCCAATTACAGAACATGCTTCTACTTCCAGCCTGTCTCAGAAAGAAACTCATTCCCTAACCACAACGTTCTTCTTTTGTGTGTGACTTTACATTTCTACTAGGAATAATGAAAAATTATGACTTGTTCAAATTAAACAAAAAATTTACTAAAGTTCAATGTTCTGCTCAGAGTGCAATAGGACTAACATCAAAATTTATGAGTACGTATCTAATATAATTCTGTATATTAGGTGACAACTCTTACAATTCCTACCTTCATTTTTTTTTCATATAGTATCCATCTATTCCATAAGCCCTCCTAAAAACTGATTTGGGCAAACATGCAGATTGACTGATTAAACCGCTTTTATATCTATTCTCTTGAATTATTTTCCTCTATTCCTTTTTGGAAACTGTATACCTTTCTTATATTTTCATTATTCATTATCTGAGCAATGTATCTATGGTATTCTGAGTTTTCTTCTGACTGATAGGATTCTGTAAATGAATTATAAAACTGAATTAAATGGAATAAACCTTCATAGAGCATGATTTAAGGACCAAAGAAATTTTCAGGTAGCTGGAAAAAATCCAAACTTCTTTTAAAAAACTCCCCAAACCCTGCTTTGGAGACCTTGCTCTAGGCCTGACTTTTCTTTTTATACATTACTGTTTATGATTTGTTTAGATCCTGTAAATAACATATTTCTAGGCCCCTCCTCTAGAGATTTTGCTACCTTTGAACTATGTCCAAGGTATTAAAAATACCATAAATAAAAAGGCCGACACTTGTGCATTTTACTTTAAGAAACATTACTCTATAAATTAATTTTGGGGACAAAAATTAATTAAGCATATACTTCCACTTTTCTATATATAGTTTCATCTGAAATACGAAATCAATTCAAATAATCTCAGTCCTTCATTAGCCTCTAAACTCTAACCCATTTACTGAAATGAATATAATTATGCATATTTTAAAAATCATCTCTGCTTTGAAAACTATAGTTTTAGACAAACTGAGATAAACAGAATAAAAGTAAATCCATACTAAGGATTTATAGTCCTTTTAAATGCAGAATTATTTTTGTTTTATCAAAATCCTTACCTCAAATAATGTACCTTTCCTTCTTATTTTGAGCCAGTTAAGTCATCATTTGGATGTTATATTTAAATTTTACTTTATAGAAGAGAAGCATTTAAGCTTAATACATTGCAGGATAGGTAACTTAAGCTGGTAACATTAACATAAAATATACCTGCTTCTTATGGTTCTGATAATGTTCAAAATTATGATCAATCCTACAGATTGATCAATTATACACCTGGGTATATAAACATATACATTTTCAGGAATTTGGAATCTTGTAGAAATTTCAGAAAGTCTCAAGGTGAGAAAAACTGCCAAGTAGAGGCCTCAATTGAACTATCTCCCCGGAGCCCTTGCTTTGGATGAAGAAGGTAGAACCAGAGGTCAAGTACTCCAATTCCTTAGCTTCTTCATTACTTTGAGAATAAGAAAAGAGGGTTACTTCTAAAGCCAGAGTCTTGAGATCATTGAGGTAAATCCTCTTTGTTATTAACTCCAGAGTAACATCCTGGATTTGTGGAGTGAGTGTTAGTGAAGACTTATCCAGGCATATCTCCTTAAATCCAACTGGCCACCTGAACAAAACCAAAGCTCTATGGCTGTAGAATGAAACTTCCCAGGATCAAAGTCCTTAGGCTTATACAGTATAGGCATTGCTATTCACCATGCTCATAATTTTTTCACGTAGATCACAAAACGAGGAATTCCATGTCCTAGTTTTCAATCATTCCTAGAGTTCAGAGCAAAATCTGTCAAAATTCCAAGCTATAGAACATTGCAAATAATTTACTGAAATTAAGAAATTTGATATTTGGAAGAAAGAAAGATATCCCCCCTTTTTGGTTATGTAGAACTGGCGGTTTTACTGTAAGATCTGCTTTCTTATGAATCTGTGTGTGTATTTATTGTAGATTTGCAGGTAAAGTTTGCAAATATGATAAGCCCACATTTTTCCTTTAGTTGTATTCTTTTCACATGGGGCCCCTGGTTATTACTATAAAAGAAGCACTATAACACTATTCTTTATTACTGACTCATCACAAATATTGTTAGTGGAATGTCTACTTCTTAACAATCATTCTAGTCACTTAAACCATGTCATATTCAAAGCACATCAGCTTTTAAAAGGGCTTTCAAAAAGTGACTATGGTGATCAATTAATTAAAATGTATCATGTGCTTTCAAACAGAATGTGTTTTGTGGTTCTGAGATTTACTCTTCTATTGTTGACATTATATATTAAGTGCACAACTTAGTTACAAATGGCAACTACAAACAGAACCCTTGGACTGGAGTTCTCTGGGTGATTTGTATCAAATGAAATCAAGTACAATCACCATAGGAATAAAAGAGTCTGTTTTTTCTTTGCAGAAAGAATTTAACAATGACTGTAAGCTGAAGGAGAGGATAGAGGAAAATGGATACAATACCTATGCATCCTTTAACTGGCAGCATAATGGGAGGCAAATGTATGTGGCATTGAATGGAAAAGGAGCTCCAAGGAGAGGACAGAAAACACGAAGGAAAAACACCTCTGCTCACTTTCTTCCAATGGTGGTACACTCATAGAGGAAGGCAACGTTTGTGGATGCAGTAGAACCAATGGCTCTTTTGCCAGGAATAGTGGATATTCTTCATGAAGACAGTAGCTCAAAAGGCAAAGACACATTGCAGATGTCTGCTTGCTTAAAAGAAAGCCAGCCTTTGAAGGTTTTTGTACTCACTGCTGACATATGATGTTCTTTTAATTAGTTCTATGTCATGTCTTATAACCAAGATATAGGCAGATCGAATGGGATAGAAGTTATTCCCAAGTGAAAAACACTGTGGCCGGGTTTTTGTTGTTCTTGTTGTTGTAGTTAAGTTTTTGTTTTTAAACCTCTGAGATAGAACTTAAAGGACATAGAACAATCTGTCGAATGAATGATCTTCAGGAAAGTTATTTATGGAATAAGAACTCATATCAAAGACTTCATTGATCATTCAAGCTTAATGAATCAATGAGCAGTAATACATGCAAGCATTTACTGGAAAGCACTTGGGTCAAATCACATGCACAACCAAAGGAGTTTTGGATGTGGTCTCATGGAAGAATTAAATAGAATTTAAAAATATAAACATGTTAGTGTGAAACTGTTCTAACAATACAAATAGTATGGTATGCTTGTGCATTCTGCCTTCATCTCTTTCTATTTCTAAGTTATTTATTTAATAGGATGTTAAATATCTTTTGGGGTTTTAAAGAGTATCCTCAGCAGCTGCCTTCTGATTTATCTTTTCCTTTTCTTCAGCACACCATATGCATGTTCATGACAAAGTGTTTTTAAAATTTGGCCAACACTTCAAAAATAGGAGTTGAGATTAGGGAAGCAGTATGAGTGCCTGTGTGCTATCAGTTGACTTAATTTGCACTTTTGCAGTAATAACCATCAACAATAAATATGGCAATGCTGTGCCATGGCTTGAGTGAGAGATGTCTGCTATCATTTGAAAGCATATATTACTCCTGAGGCTTCCTGTCTCAAGAAATAGACCAGAAGGCCAAATTCTTCCCTTTCAATACATCAATTTGTCTCCAAGAATATACTAAAAAAAGGAAAATTAACTGCTAAATACATTTAAGTAGCCTAACCTCATTATTACTTATGATTTTTTGCTGTATGTCATGGTGGTAAAGAGGCTGTCCCATTTGTAAAACATCTCTGTAAGTCCCGCATGATGCATCTTTCCCAAATAAACTATCAAAGAATTTGGTATGAAGTGCAACTCTCCCAGGGGCTTAAACTGAGCAAATTAAATATATACTGGTATATGTGTAACCATATACAAAAACCTGTTCAAGCTGTATGATCTAGTCTTTACAAAACCAAATAAAACTTGTTTTCTATAAATTTAAAGAGCTTTACAAGGTTCTATAATGTAATCATATCAAAATTCATTTTGTTAGAGCAGGTATAGAAAACAGTACATAAGAGTTTACCAATCATCATCACATTGTATTCCACTAAATAAATACATAAGCCTTATTTGCAGTGTCTGTAGTGATTTTAAAAATGTAGAAAAATATTATTTGTTCTAAATACTTTTAAGCAATAACTATAAGAGTATATTGATGCTGCAGTTTTATCTTCATATATCTTGTCTTGAAAAGTGTTTATTTTTATTGTTTGGACACAGTATTTTGGTACAAAAAAAGACTCACTAACTGTGTCATTTTACTAAAGTTTAACCTCTGGAAAGGCTGATGTTCTGTGATTCTCTTAAAAACTTATTTGTGTCAATGTTTAACCAGTCCTTCCAGGTAATCTGTTATTTTAAAAATTGCTTTATTAAGAAATTTTTTGCATAAAGTAATCCCATAAAAGGTCATTATTTCTCCTATTCTTCAAAAAAAATTGTATTTCAGAAGAAACATATTTGAGGCACTGTGTTTTGGCTTATAGCTTAAATTGCATTTCATCATACTTTGCTTCCAACTTGTTTTTTGACAAATGAGATTCTAAAAATGTTTAATTTTTGTGGTTGGAATCTGGATGTTAATATTTAATTGGTAACTGAGTCTGTGAGCTATAATGTAATGCATTCCTATCAAAACTAGGTATCTTTTTTTCCTTTATTTTAAAACAATAATTGCACCTGACACATGAACATAGACCACCCACAACCAAAATTAAATGTTTGGTGAGATAAATACACATTGGATAACCACAGTGACAGCAAATAGGGCACAGGCTGAATTCTTATTTTACATAGCCATTTAGATTACCAAAGAGACTATGTGTAAACAGTCATCATCATAGTACTCAAGACACTGAAACAGCTTCTTGCAAAATGCATTAAAGGTTGCAGAGGCCAAAAACAGAAAACATTTCCTAGTCTATCCCACACCAATCCCCATCCCCACCCCCACTTACAGAAAGACAAAAAACTGGCCTGGTACGGTGGCTCACACCTGTAATCCCAGCAGTTTGGGAGGCTGAGGTGGGAAGATGCCTTGACCAAGAGTTCTAGACTGACCTGAGAAACCTAGTGAGGCATCCTTCTGTTAAAACAAAACAAAACAAAAAACAAATGTAGTCATGTGTGCTGGCATGTACCTGTGGTCCCAACTACTCAGGAGGCTGAAGCAGAAGGATCTCTTGAGCCCAGGAGCTTGAGGCTGCAGTGAGCTATTATCTTGCCACTGCACTCCAGCCTGGGTGAAAAAGAGCCAGAAAGAAAGGAAAGAGGGAAAAGACAAGAAAGGTAGGAAAGAGAAAAGGAAGGAAGGAAAGAAGGAAGGAAGGAAGGAAGGAAAGAAGGAAGGAAGGAAGGAAGGAGAAAGAGATGAGAAATATTGGTAAGGAGTAATGACATTATTTTGCATTTAAAAGTGTCATATTTGCTTGATATTGAAATAAAATTCTGGTTCCTATTGCAACTACTGAAAAAAAAAAAAAGTTTCAGCCCTGAATGTTGTAGGTTTAAAAAAGAAAATGAGAGATTTTGAGAGCTCAGCCACTGCAGGAGCATGGCCCCTAGCCCACACAGTTAAGGTATATTAGCCACAAATATGTGTCCATTTGAGTTTTCGTTCTGAGAATACTCCTCATAAAGATATAGAATCACTCCCTCCTCCTACCTCCCAAAAGGCTGCACAGTGTACAGTATGTTACATTTAAATAAAAACAATAAAAATGTTTGGAAAAGAAAATTTAAATATTGTCCTTGTTTGTTTTATTAGTCAGAAACTCTACCTGGTAATAAAGAGAGAAGCTCAACTGTTGTGTGCATGGCAGGATGTGGTTAAATGCCCCACAGCCCCAAACAACAACAGAAAAAAAAATTACTCAAACATTTGTAAGGTTTCTTTAATGTTTCACATGTGTGAGTTAGCTATCCTTACTCTAATAACAACCAAATGCTTTCAAACTTTTCTGAGTATTCAGGTCCACCTAATTTACACAGTGGATAAAGAAAAATGAATTGGAAACAAGGATGGCTCGTGAAACAATGGAAGACTTCTGGAGGACAGCCAGGTGGTTGCAGAATCTGATTTCAAGGGGATGATTGACCAATGAATTTGATTTAAAAATTAGAGAGAAAAAATACATAATAATGCCAGTTGTTTCCAGGACCCAAGCAAGTTTATGAACCCAATTTACATACATCAGCATTAATACTGCACAGTTCTAATAATTTCGATGTTGCTAATTCAAGGCTTATAATTATTCAGCAAGTAAAATTTAACTTTTTCATATTAGTGAAGGGTTTAGCTAGCCCAAACTTTGTCTAAAGATGTGTGTGTGTGTGTGTGTGTGTATGTGTGTGTGTTGTGTGTGTGTGTACACATACATAGGAAGCTCAAAATATTTAAGAGAAGATGTCTAGTACATTCGAAGTAGGACATAAACATGAAAGCAGATACCATATTGATTAAGAGTTCTTATTTATTTCATGAAGCAGGACGTTTACAACTTAAACAAAAAATATATATATAAAATGAAAAGAAGTATCTTTGAAGGATGCTCAGGAGAAAAAGGAACTCTGAGTTCTATGAGTACTTAGAAATGAAGCAACAAAGATCTGCTTCCTCTCAAACTTCATTTTTCTCTTACTTACCCTTTATTCGTTTTATTTAGTTGGCTACTGATTGCTTCTAGTCTACTTCTTTCCTACTCCAAACTGAAAACCCCAAACTCCTTTACTACAAGATCCAAAAGGTAAACATCCTAGTTGCAATTCTTATTAGCCAGGTTTGAAAAACATAACAACCTCTAGACCAATCAGTATAAGAGATTTGGGCATTGTGATCGGCCAATCTTCAGTGACGTGACCACAGAGAGGCAAGGTGCAGATTTTGGCAGCCCACACAACTGCAACTAGTGAAGAATAGTACACCAAGGAGACAGCAATGCTGAGCAGGTGCAAAAGCCAAATGGTTGTTTGCTACATCTTATTAAATGAGGCTATTAACGTAAGCACATTTTCTATTTCCCACCAATTCCAATTATTCCCCACCAATTCCAATTATTCTTCACCTATTTGTCCAAATCAGAGAGGTTTCAAGATCTTTCTCTTCCATATGTTCTTCACTATTGAAAGATTATATTTGCTTTGCTTTGTTTTAAGCTAAGAGTGGGGCCCTGGGTATAACTAGGCTCACTGGGGTTTTGCAAACTTTATATTGGGATGAATGCAAGTTTTCACTGAATAAAAATCTGGTCCTTCTACTTCAGCCTATATCACAACATGATGTTATCAATGTTTCTTTCAGTTTACCACAAGAGTATGTGCTAGTATTTTCAAGTATATCAACGTATAGAAAAAATCTGAAACCCTGATGTCATTCATTTGTAAAATAAAAAAAGAAAAAAGGCAAAACCTGCTTCATGTCTTTTACTACATTCAACATGTGACAAAAGAAAAATTTATCACCTAAAGTTTATCTATCCTTTTGCAGAAGAGTAAAAAATAAAACACAAAATGCACTTACAAGTGAATAATCTATGAAAAACACCTTCATAAATACCATGTATTAGTTAAAATGGAATAATCATGATCTAGCTAATGATGTTAAAGGAATTGGTCTTGTTCCTATGTGGCTAATAATGATACACATCTTAAATGCCTAAATCATCTTAGTTTTCCATGTGCCTGTTCCATGATAGCAACTAAAGGCAACAATTTCATACACAGAGAAAAGCCATATGCCAACCATACATGCATGTGGCATGTATTATCTTATACATTTTTATTATCCACCACAAAAGAGCCCATGTTCATTGTTTAATTCAGGCAACTGGATCCTCTAGAGATGAGCACAACAAATGAAGAATCAAAACACCCCATGTTCCTCATTACAACTGTAAATTGAACATATGCCTTCATACAACTTAGGCAGTGACCCTAGATATAGAATAACCAATTGCAGTGTGGCCTTAGCCCTCCTAAAGTTTGGTTTTAATTACCTTATACACATCTTAAATGACTAAATCATCTTACAGTTTTCTAAATTATTTAGTTATTATCTCCGTGGTCAATTTAAGCTGCTGACAATGCAAATATTCTTAGTGAGGACCTTCAAGGGAAGCAAATTAAAACCAGTGTTTCATGAGGTATTATAATTTTTGAAAGACTGCTTTTTATGGTTACAAGAAGTATTAAGGCTGGGGTCACTAATCAAATCAAATCATCATTAAAAATATTTTAAAATCAGGTATATAAACACTAAATGTCTTGATAGCCATTTTTTTCAGTGACATGTCAATATGTTCAGATATCAATGGTATTTAAGTCAATACCTATAACATATTATGAAAAAAATATCTATTTTAGGGAGCTTTCCCACTGAGGAAAACAAAAGAGAAACACTGAAAGATGGCATGCATGTAAATAAAGATACAAACAATATCTTATTTGCTTTCCTGACAAATTAGATACTGGGCATGAAACGCATTTTACAATTTGTGTTTACTGTCATGCAGCAAACCATGAAACCAAATGCGATTTTCAAGTCAGTGTCAGCAATCATTTTCCTCATCTTATAAAGTTCTGCATTTCATCCTCCAAGATCTCCTAAGAAATAGTCAAATCAGTATATTTCAACTGCAGCAATTAGCTTATCTTTCTCTTTCTCATTTTCAGTGCCAGGTGATATTAAGTAACTATGTAATATGTATTCCTCTATTAGACTCACAAGAAAGTGATAGACTTTATTTGGACCAATCATCTACTTCGGCTGCTTCAAATGAGCAAAGACCCCATAGTAACGTTTGTAAAGAATGTTGGAGGCAATTAGTAATGAGAACCTGGAGTTATTGTTACATTCTCCCTACCAATTTTTAAATATTTCTATCTCTCTCCACATATCAGTATTCCCTAGTGACAACATTAATTATCCCTAATCATTTAAATT